TACAGATGTCTACACATTGTCTCGAACATGTTTTAGATGATATGTAAAAGCATGATTGAAGGATCTTTGGAACATGTTTTACACATTTTAAACACATGATTACTTCAATGATAGGATTGTTAGGGTGCCGTTTTTAAAACATGCTCCGCGTGCGGATCATGGATTGAACATGCAGGGATTTAGCATTAAAAACAACGATGAGTTCACGCATACATTTATTCATTGATTAATCATGTTTTAAAGTCTCATTTTTTAGAGCACTCCCATGTATTAGAAACTGCCCTGTAGGGTGTCCACTGCCATGACGTCCACTGCAACGATGAGTTCATGCGCAAATTTGTCCATAAATGAATCATGCATTCAAGATTCTATGTTTTAAAACATCCCATGTATTAAAAACTGCCCTGTAGGGTGTCCATTGCCGTGACATCCGCAAATCTCGGGCCTCCGGCGGCCGCCCGGCACGATCCGGGCACCCCCGAAGGTGCTCCTCGGCGAGGCGCAGCCGCTGGAGCGCATCCCGCGGCCCCGGAAGGCCGCCGAGCACCGACGGCAGCGGCCTGACGAGCCCAGCATCCCCATCCTCATCCTCATCTTCGTCCTCATCTTCATCCCATTCCACCCTCCCCATCCTTCCTCCTCCTCCTCCACCTCCTCCTTAGGGAAACAAGAAGTGACATAAACATAAAAACTCGGATGTCCGCGCGGATTTCTCGGATCGGCGCTGGGGCCCCCCGGCGGCGCCTCCGGCGCCGCCCCTGGCGCGCTCCGCGCGCCAGGGAGGGGGGTCCAGCGCCGATCCGAGAAATCCGCGCGGACCTCAGAGTTTTTATGTTTATGTCACTTTTTGCTCCCCTACTCCTCCACCTCCTCCTCCTCCTCCTGAGCCCCAGACTCCCAAGCTTCTCCCCGCTTCTGCCCCGAGATCCGGCGCCGCGGCAAGCGAGCTGCAGCATCGCACGGAGTCTCGACCGGAGCCCTGGATTCCATCTTTCTGCGCAGGTTGTCCTGGCTGGGCCCGGACATGCGAGGTGTTGATTTTGTTCAATGCGGGGCCCCTGAACATCCCGTTCCCCAGGGCGGGCTTTTCATCCCGAGCCCGTTCTGGGGTTCGACGAGGGCCCCCAGAGGCTGACGACGGCCGAAAGCCGCCCGTCGTGTTTTCTCTCACGACGCTCGCACGTCTAGGGATCGATCTGCGAGGGCCCTGGGGCCCGAAACAAGGCAGAGCCGCCTGTGGAGGAGGATGAGTTGGAGGAGGAGGAGGAGGAGGAGGAGGAGGAGGAGGCGGAGGAGGAGGAGGAGGCGGAGGAGGAGGAGGAGGAGGAGGAGGAGGCGGAGGGGGAGGAGGAGGAGGAGGAGGAGGAGGAGGAGGAGGAGGATGAGGAGGAGGAGGAGGAGGAGGAGGAGGAGGAGGAGGAGGAGGAGGAGGAGGAGGAGGAGGAGGAGGAGGAGGAGGAGGAGGAGGAGGAGGAGGAGAGGAGGAGGAGGAGGAGGAGGAGGAGGAGGAGGAGGAGGAGGAGGAGAGGAGGAGGAGGAGGAGGAGGAGGAGGAGGAGGAGGAGGAGGAGGAGAGGAGGAGGAGGAGGGAGGAGGAGGAGCTCGCCTGGCGCGAAAAAAGGCAGAGTCGCCTGGCCCGAAACAGGGCAGAGCCGCCTGGCGCGAACAACAATTGCAGCGCCCAGGTCCCAGGGCAGGCCGCGGGCGGCAGCTCTCTGCTCCGGGCGTGGCGCGCGGGCGCCGTGGTGCGGGCTCCTTTCGGGTATAGCCAGGACCCCAGGTAATTAAGGGGACCCAGTTAGTGGTAGGGCCCCGGAGCCCTTGAATCGGCCAGAATCACTAAACCAGGTCTGCCGCAGCTGGTGTTTTTTCGGGTGTCGGCAGTGCCGGTTAGTGGAACGGGGCGGGGGGGGCGTCCCCCCAGTGCACATTACTAAACCAGGTTCCACTGAACCCAGTTCTGCCAATGCCCGATCCTTGGTGGGGACCCCCGATCGAGGGGTTGACTCCCCAGAGGCTCTCCAGAGGCTCCAGGGGCCCCAAGAGCAGAGGTCACTCTTGCCCAGGATCGCTCCCTGCGTGCAGAGCTGGAGCAGGGCAGCATCGCCCGGCGCGGAACAGCAGTTGCAGCGCCTGGATCTCAGGGAATCTAGGCCTCCCAGACGGGGTCCGAGAAGATGGGGTCGGAGGACCGTGCCGCATCGCCGATGCCTCGACGGTCCTAGATGCATCGGCGACGTCCCGATGCATCGCCGAAGTCGCCGACGCATCGGCGATGCATCGGCGCTGCGGCGCGGTCCTCCGAGCCCACCTGCTCGGACCCCGTCTGGGACGCCTCTGCAAAGTCGGGCCGGTCGAGAGCTCTGGACGTGATCTTTCGCGACGGGGGTTGGGGGGGGCGGACCCAGACAGCCAGCGCATGGTGATAGTTTAATTTTGTTTTGCCGATCGGCGCGGGCCCCCCCCTTCCCCCCCTATGGCCCCTAAGGTGAGCCGCCAGGGGTGTTCTCACGGGCCCGTTCGCGGCCAGTTTGTGGGGGTGTCTCAGGCGGTTTGTTCGTTTTCATGCCCAACATCCTTTGCTTTCAGCAGATTGTGAGGATGTCTCAGGTGGGGCGCTGGTTCCAGCACCCTTAGGGTGAGCCGCCAGGGGTGTTCTCACGGGACCGTTCGCGGCCAGTTTGTGGGGATATCTCAGGCGGTTTGTTCGTTTACATGCCCAACATCCTTTGCTTTCAGAGCAGATTATGAGGATGTCTCAGGCGGGGCGCTGGTTTCAGCACCCCTTAGGGGAGCCGCCAGGGGTGTTCTCACGGGCCTGTTCGCGGCCAGTTTGTGGGGGTGTCTTTGCTCGTTTTCATGCCCAACATCCTTTGCTTTCAGAGCAGATTGTGAGGATGTCTCAGGCGGGGCGCTGGTTTCAGCACCCCTTAGGGGAGCCGCCAGGGGTGTTCTCACGGGCCCGTTCACGGCCAGTTTGTGGGGATGTCTCAGGCGGTTTGTTCGTTTTCATGCCCAACATCCTTTGCTTTCAGAGCAGATTGTGAGGATGTCTCAGGTGGGGCGCTGGTTTCAGCACCCCTATGGGGAGCCGCCAGGGGGTAGGACGCTCATGAACAGACGCTCACTATGGCATGACATAACACATGAGATGCACATATGGGGAGCTCCACGTAGTGAATATTTCCCAACCATCCTGTGGTGTTGGGTCCTCGTTTTGAAGAGACCGCCCCGCGTTCACTCCTCCTCCTCCCGCTGCCCCCTCCCTCCTCCCTCCTCCCCCTCCTTGCCTCTGCTCTCGGCACACTTCTCACACGTTTCGTAGCCCCATAGGGAGCTCCACCGAAGGCCCCAGTGGGGGGGGGTCGCATGCGGTTCCCCCGCCCAGGGCAGCGTTTCGTGTCCACATAGGGAGCTCCGCCGATGGCCCCAGTGGGGGGGGTCACATGCGGTTCCCCCACTCAGGGCAGCGTTTCGTGTCCCCATAGGGAGCTCCACCGAAGGCCCCAATGGGGGTGCCCGCATGCGGTTCCCCTACCCAGGGCAGCGTTTCGTGTCCCCGCAGGGGGCTCCACCGTTGGCCCCAGTGGCTGCTCTCGCATGCGGTTCCCCCACCCAGGGCAGCGTTTCGTGGCCCCATGGGGAGCTCCACCGAAGGCCCCAGTGGGGGTGCCCGCATGCGGTTCCCCCACCCAGGGCAGCGCTTCGTGACCCCATAGGGAGCTCCACCGAAGGCCCTCAGTGGGGGTGCCCGCATGCTCTCCCCCACCCAGGGCAGCGCTTCGTGGCCCCATGGGGAGCTCCACCGATGGCCCCAGTGGGAGTGTTCGCATGCGGTTCCCGCACCCAGGACAGCGTTTCGTGGCCCTATAGGGAACCCCACCGAATGCGTTGCTCACAAAAACGGTATTCACAACTGCATATGGTTGGGTCCTTCGCCAGGCTAATTTTTTCACTTTGGACGTGTGCCAAGGTGAACTACATCAGAGCAGAGAGAGGGAGCCGAGATGGTTGACCGACGTTAGGCGACACGTAACAACGGCGTCCCCAGACCCCCTCGAGGCAAGACGCAGTCGCGACGGCCCCTGGGGGCCGTCGCGGGGCCCTGGGCCTGGCCGACAACGACTCAGGGCGCGTAGGCTTTAGGGCACAAGCAGTGACCTTCACAGAACCTTTCGGAGGTCCGCGCGGACTTTGCGGATCGGTGGTGGAGGTCCCTGGCGGCGTATCCGGCGCCGCCCCTGGCGCGCGCCGATCCGAACAGTCTGCGCGGACCTCCAAAAGTTTGTGTTTGTGTCATTGCGTGTTCCGCTAAAGCTGCCCGCGTAAGGTCGCGCGTAAGCGCCCTCGGCTGCCGATTTCCGCCGATCAGCTCACCTCGATCGCCGATCCGACTGATTGAAATCGATTCCGGGCTTCTCTGGGATAGGCTCAGTTGGCAACGTTCCAAGACATTCAATGTTCAGATTTCTTTACGGGGCCCCCAGAAGTCACAACCCTGTCCTCGGGACCAGTCTGTCACCCCGAATCGTTCTCTGACGCTTCCGGTGCCCGGCGACGGTCCCAGGTGGCCGAAAACGGTCAAAACACTTTTCGTCGTATTTGTGGTCACGGGCATGTCTGGGTTTGTGCATCGACCCCCGTCGCCCGTTCGTCGCCGATAGCGGCCGCAGTTCCGCTCGCCCAGGTCCTCGGAGGATGACGCGGAGGAGGAGAAGGAGGAACGAGGAGGAAGGAGGAGGGTTGAGGAGGAGGGCTGAGGAGTAGGAGGAGTAGGAGGAGGAGGAAGAGAAGGGTTGAGGAGGAGGAGGAGGAGGAGGAGGAGGAGGAGGAGGAGGGAGGAGGAGGAGGAGGAGGAGGAGGAGGAGGAGGAGGAGGAGCGAGGAGGAGGAGGAGGAGCAGCAAGGAGGAGTAGGAGCGAGGCGGAGCGAGGCGGAGCGAGGCGGAGCGACGACGACGCCCGAGCGCGCCGACGACCGAGCGCGCCGACAGCGGCCGCAGGCCCGCTCGCCCACATCACCTGCTTCGGCGGCCCGCCCTCGGCGCGGGCGCCCTCGGCGCGGGCGCCCGCGGCGCGGGCTCCCTCGCGGCCGTCTGCGAGGAGCCGGCCGCCCGACCAGCACGGCGCGAGCGGTTGCGGCAGAGGCCGCCGCGGGGCGGGGCCGCCCAGAGGCCGGGTCGGACCCGCCTCCTCCTCCTCCTCCTCCTCCCCCTCCTCCCCCTCCTCCTCCTCCTCCTTCTCCTCCTCCTCCTCCTCCTCCTCCTCCCCTCGTCGTCCCTCCGTAGCCATTTTGGCTCAAGACTTCTGCACCTGAGGGCTCCGCGCCCTCGTGCCAAATCGGAAGCTGCTAGTCCGCAGCAGTGCCAAGGCCTTGCGCCTGACAGCTTTGCCAGTACTGCACGGGCTTCTGGCAGCCCATCCGTTTCGTGGGCTCCTGTCGGAGCGTGCCCATGGTTCCTTGGTCTCGTGCCGAGAATGCGCAGCCGTGGAGGTGCAAGTCCTGCCTTCGCAAGGATGGGACCCCGTGGCGGAACTGGGGCACGTCGAAGGCTTGCGGCAAGTGCGGCATCCACAAGGGCGCGTGCTTCAAGGACACCGTCCCGTCCGACAGCCTGGCGCCTTCCAGGCGTCGCAAGGGCGCTGCTGGCGGCGGTGGTGACGGCGGCTCTGGCGCTGGGTCTGGCGACGCAATGCGCAAGCGCATCGCCGAGCTGGAGGCGCAGCTGGCCCGTGCACGGGACGGGACCGCTCGCGACGCCATGGACCTCGGGGTCGACGGCGACGCGGCCTCTCCTCCGGAGCGCGCAACCGAGCAACGCCGTGACCGTCTTCAATGGCTCGAGCGGCAGATTGCCTACTGCGACGCCCCCGGCCAGCGCGGAGACCCCTTCTACCAGGAGTCTCGGCCCAAGTTCGTGCAGGAGCGCGACGAGCTGCGCCGCACCCTGGTTGCGTCCAAGCCCCTCGACGTGCGGCAGCGCGACCTCGCAACCAAGATGTCCAAGCAGCGCCAGCGGATCACCGCCTGCGACCTGCAGGTGGCGGGCCTCAAGGAGAAGCTCGCCGCCATTACGGCGGACCTGGACGTGGCGACCCGCGCCGCGGCCGAGGCTCGGACGCTCATGGTGCAGCTGGAGGCGGACAACATGGCGTTGGCGGCCCAGGCTCCCTTGGCGCCAGAAGCCGTCACGCTGGACGCCGTGGTGCCGAGGCTCGAGGTCACCATGCAGCAGTTCTCCTCGCTCTTGCGAGGGTTGGGGGGCTCCGAGACGATCGAAGCCACCTTCCAGGCCGCCTTGGCCAGCCACGTCGCTGGGCTTCGCGCGGCCCAGGCTTAGCCCCAGAGAGCGGCGCCTGGCACGCCCCAGGGCCCTGCGGGCGGCGCCCCTGGAGCCCCTCCTGGCGGGCCTCCTGGCGCTGGTGCTGAGGGGCCTGCTGCTCCCGTCGCGGCTCCTGGCACGCCTGGCAGCTTCGATTTCCTGGGTGCTGACACGACGGCTGAGGACGTTCGCTCGTTCGTGGAGTCGATGGGCTTCCAGGTGCCCGCCGAGGAGGCCGAGAGCGTCACCATCGAGCGGGCTCGCGTCATCAACGAGGCGATCCAGAGCCAGGCCAAGCGGCTCAAGACCCAAGCGGGCGCTGCGACGTCATAATCGGTGGTACCCGCTACATCGCGTTCGGTCTGCTTGCCTTGTCGTGATCATGATGGCGTGCACCACGATGGACAACGAGATCGACCCCCTGGAGGAGGTCGACGACGCGGCCGAGTTTATGGCCCAGTACGCAGAGGCACCTCCTGCTCCCGAGGTGCCAGGGGCCGCCGCGGGAGCCCCCCGCCCGGACGATTTCGTCCACGCAGCTGGCGCTTCCGTGCGCGCCGGCACGCACCGGGGGCCAGTCTGGGCCGCCGCCGCCCCGGGGCCCCGGCCGCCGCCGCCGCCGCCGCGGGCCCCGGCCGCCGCTGCCGCCGCCGCGCGGGCCGCCGCTGGGGCCGCCGCGGGCCCCGGCCACCGCCCCCGTGCGGGCGGGAGTGTGTCCGCACCCGCCGTTTGCGGACTCACTCCCGCGCAGGCCCCGGGCGCCCCCGGCGTGGACCCCCCGGGCCCGTGCGGGCTGATCAGCTCGCGCCGTCGGATTGGGTGCCTACCTTCCTGGTCGAGGCTGCTGGCGTGCGGGCCCCTGCCAGGGCCGCCGGGCGCGCTGGCGGGACCGCTAGAGGCGCCGCCGTGGCCGCAGCGGCCGCCAGCTCCGCCGGGCCCGCCTCTGGCGGTCGCCAGGCTGCCGAGGCCTCGAGCGAGTTCGTCGGCACGCTGGTCTCGGCCAACACTTCCTCCTTCGGCCCGATGTTCGACTACGTGGCGGAGGTGTCGCACGAGGTGCGGGTAATTGCCGTGCAGGAGCACCGCATTCCTCAGGCCAGGCTGGGCGAGATGCCATGGGGCTTGGACGGCTGGCTTGGAGACGGCAGCGCAGAGCACAACCAGCGGCGCCGCGGTGTTGGTCCCGTCTTTCGCGCCCCTCACCACGGCCCCTGGCCTGGCCGACGGGGCCCTCGTCCCTGGCCGCGCAGCCGCAGCTCGGGTTCACTGGGGCATCCCGCAGGGCCTGGTCTGCATCAGTCTTTACTGTGTGGACTCCGTGGGCTTCGCGGGGCCCAACTTGGATGTGCTGTGGAGAGTTTTCGAGTACTGTTGCCAGCTCAACGCCCAGGGCGAGGACTTCGTCATCATGGGCGACTGGAATATGGCCTCCGATGTGGAGGGGCTCCGCGAGGCGCTGTTGTCGGTTCGTGCCATTCCCTTCGCCCCCGGGGACGTGACTTGCGTTCAGGGGGAGGGCTCCATCATCGACTTCATGGCAGCGTCGTCGAACCTGGTCTCCAGGCTTGACAGCCAGGTGACAGCACAGCTCGACTCTGACTTGTACCCGCACCGCCCTGTGCACCTGCGGATGCGGGGCTGCGATCGCCCAGCCTGGTGCAGGGTGGCCGACGAGCCCAGGCCGCTCTCGGCGCTGCCCCCTCCTGGGTGTGCCAGGCCGCCTTACGACTGGGGGCCGCTGGCGGCGGATGCCCAGGTGGTCACGGAGTCCGACGGGCTGGTCCAGCTCTGGGACGCCGTGCTGCACGGGATCGACGCCGAGCTCTGCGCGCGCTGGGACAAGGTCGGGGCACAGGCCAAGGCGCACTCGGGCCGAGCGGGGCCCCTCCAGGTGCGCTGGCAGCTTCTGAGATGGCGGCCACGGCGGCGACGGCACTATCGCGACGGTTCCGTTCGACCATGGGTCGTGGCCAAGAGGTGGATGACTCACCTTACGGCTGTTCGTCAGCGGCTGCAGGAGCAGCTCGGCGGCCTGAACGTGGCGGCGGCCATGTGTGACCTGATGCCCTGCCAGTGCTTTGGCGTCCTGCGGGAATTGGAGGAGGCCCACCGCTACTTGGTGAAGGTCTCGAGGCAGCGGGCGGTCCTGGCCGCCATCGACCCGACGGTGGCCAAGTACTTGCAGAGGGGCCTCATGCTGCTGGTCTCGCCGCACTTCGACTACTGCGTCGACCTGGTGGTGCGCGTGGCGGACCAGAAACTAAGCGACGCCCAGGCCGCTTCGGAGGCGGCGTGGCGCGGCTGGCTGCAAGAGGCCTTCCTTCGGGGGGCGCGGGGGGCCCACCGTGCCTCCAAGATCGTCCCCATGCAGCCCCTGCTGCAGCTGGAGGGCGAGGTGCAGCCTTATGTGGTGGCCGACGCGGCGCTCCAGGAGTGGGAGGACGTCTGGTCCCACCACGGCGCGGCGTGGCTGCCCAAGCCTGCTGACTTCGACCAGTGGGAGCTGCTGCCGCCGATCACCGTCCAGGACATGCGGGCGGCGATTTGGAGCTACCCGGCCACCACCGCCCGGGGGCCTACTCGCCTGGCGCCCAAGTCTCTCTACTTTGTGTCGGACGAGGGGCTGCGGGCGATCGCGAGGCTCCTGGAAGCCTGCGAGCGGTTGGGCATGTGGCCCGACGGGCGCGTGGAGTCGGAGCTCGTGCAGATGAGCAAGGCGGACGGGGGCAAGCGCCTCATTGCCTTACTCCACACCCTGACGCGCTTGTGGGGGAAGCTGCGCCGTCCCCTGGGGAAGCGGTGGGAGGAGACCCATGCTGCCCCCTGGGTCTGGGGCAATCGCTCCCGCTTCACATCCAGCGACTCGGCATTCGACCTGAACCTGGAGCAGGAGGTGGCCACCCTGTTGGACGAGCAAAGCGGCACCTGGGTCAGTGACATGGCCAAGTGCTTCGAGCTGGTGGACAGCAGCCAGCTTCTTTTGGAGGCCCGGGAATGCAATTTTCCCTTGCGGCTCGTGTGGATGATGATTGACCTCTACCACCAGCCTCGTAGGGTTCGGGTGGGGCCCAGCCTGTCGCTGGCCATGCTGGTCTTCCAGGGCGTGCTGGCGGGGTGCACTCACGCTCCCACGGCGCTCCTGGTCCTGACCCACCGCGCGATGGCGAGGCTCAGCAAGATGTGCCCCAACGTGCGGCCCAGGCAGCTGATGGACGACATCACCCTGCACTACGTGGGGCCCCGCGAGGCAGAGGCCAGCCAGCTCGAGGTCGCCGCCGTCGAGCTGACGCGTTGCGCGCAAGGCCTCGGCATGCGGGTCAAGCGGGCCAAGTCTGGCTTGGTTTTCAACCGCGCGTGCTTTGCGCACCGCTTCCGCGCGCGGGCCGTGCAGATCGGCCTGCGCCCGAGGCGGGCGATGCGCAACCTCGGACACGAGCACCACGGGCCGAGGGTGTTCCGGCGGCAGGAGGCGGCGCGCGTGGCGGCCCTCGTCGCGAGGGGCCGCCGAGTGGCCATGCTGTCCCGCGGAGCGGGGCGCAAGGCGGCGCAGCTGTGGCGCACTGGGCTGGCCCCGTCGGTCGCCCACGGCGAGGGCGTCAGCGGCATGGCGGATCATCGGCTTCGCCACCTCCGGCGCGCTGCGGCCACCCTGAATGGGTGGAGGCATGGCTCTGGATGCACGGCCTACTTGCTGACGCATCCCAGCCCGCGCTTCGACCCGATCTACGACGTCTCGGTGCCGTTGATCCTCCGGTACGCGGGCTGGCTGTGGGACGGCCGCACGTCCGGCGCCAGGCTGCAGAAGGCTTGGGACGCGGCCCACG